AAATAGTTTGTAGCACTAAAAGGCTCGATAAGCTTATTGCTAAGCCTAATTTTCGTGATAGAACTATATTTACAGAAAAACTGATAGCAGTTCATCTAAATAAAACTAAAGTAAATTTTAACAAACCCATTGCAGTAGGTATGGCTATTCTTGAACTAAGCAAAATCGTAATGTATAGATATTTTTATGATATTTTTCCTCGTGTATTTGGTCAAGGAAATGTAGAACTATTATATACAGATACGGATAGTTACCTTATAAATGTAAACTCAGTTGACGTATATGAGCAAATCAAGGAGAATATACATTACTTTGACACTAGTGAGTACCCAATAACACACGCTTGTTTCTCTCTCGATAATAAGAAAAGACTTGGTGTTATGAAAGATGAAACTTTATCAGTTCCCCTAAAGAAATTCATTGGTCTTAGGACAAAGCTATATACTACTCTTAGTAAGAATTATGATTGTAAGAAACGTGCTAAGGGTGTAAAGAAAAGTGTTGTTAAAAATGAAATAACTTTTCAGGACTACGAGAGAGCTTTGTTTTGTAATCAAAACCAGTACAAAGAAATGAATATAATTAGGAGTAGGAAACATGATGTATACACAACGAAAGTACGAAAACTAGCGTTATCGTCTCATGATGATAAAAGATTTGTATTAAATGATAATATCCATACCATGGCATATGGCCATTACAAACTAATTGAGAATAAAAAAAGGAAAATTGATTTACACAAAGAACTGATTGCAAAAAAAGCTAAAATGACCAATGATTCTTGTTAAGCTCAAATTATTTGTTAGATTTGTATGTAAGTTAATTTAGTTTTTTACTTTTCAGATAATGTTTTTTTGGAAACTGTACCGGTCAGGTACGAACAACTTTCTGTTGACGAGGGCTTCCTTAATATGCCTGAATACGAGAACATGGGTCGGGTTGCTATACCTCTGCACGCATTTTTCCCTTCCTGTATTTACACTATAACCTTAAATCCTGGAGAAAGAAAAACCATATCTGCGGGTATAAAAATTAGAATACCTGAAGGTTATGAAGGACAAATTCGACCGGTAGCATGGCAAGCGGAAACTTTCGGGGTGACAGTTTTAGACTCTCCAGCGTCTATTGACTCCAACCATACAGACGTAGTCAGGGTTAACCTAATAAATCATGGAAACGAGCCGTTCAGCATTAATTACTGTAGTCACATCGCAGATCTTGTCCTAATAAAGGTTGCTAGGGTGTGTTGGGTCTTAAACGGTGGTTCCGAAGATCACGATGATCCGGACTGTAAATTAGAGGAAATAATTGTTGACAATCATGTGTCTGTCATTGTAAGAAGGGACATTATCTAGTTACAAATAAATCAAGTAATTTGAGCTTTACAGTAAATTTATGTAAATAGTGGAATAATAGAAAGTATTATGACTGTAATGAAAAAAACTGTAAACTTAACTTATCTATTTAGTTTGATTGTTTATGTTTTTAATTACTGTAACCATTGAATCTTCAAATTAATACATAGATTTTTTTTCATAATTTTGTAAGTGTAACAATTATATTTGACATTTGTTATGTATATTTGTAATTTTGATATGTTTGTAAATAAATATAAATTATTTTGACATACAATCTGTGTTCAGTGTTATTTATTACCTACCTTGTTTCAGATTAATTTATCTCCCTTTCATTTATCTGATATAAATATATATTTATACACAATTAAATATTACGTCATGAATAAAAACATAGTTATATCAATCAAAATAAGAGAATAGCATCATTTGATGTTTGACTTTCAAGACGATGAAACCAAGTATCGACAAGTTTGGAGGTTATATAGGTTTTACTTCCAAAGAAAACGTTGTAGTAGGACCTTCAGGAATAGGTTTCAAGCTAACTGATAAACAAAATTTTAATATTGAAAACAAAAGGTTAACAAACGTAGGGGAAGCTGTCGATTCTAGTGATGCCGTTACTTTAAATTATATTTCATCAAAATGTCTATTGTTAGAGGATAAACAAGTTAATTTAAGAAAGAGAAAAATTGTTAATGTCAATGATCCTGAATCAGACATGGATGTTGTTAATAAGAGGTACTTTCAAAATAGTATGGACAAAGAACTACGAGATACTATTAAGTTTGATAGAAAGAAATTTATTATTGATTGCGAAAATCATAATATTAAAAATATATCAAACCCTGTAGATGGAAAAGATGCAATATCTCTCGATTATTTCAAAAGCAATACTTTAATGTATGAAAATGGCAATTTTAATGCTAAAAGAATGAGAATTAACAATATTGGAGATCCTACCGAGTTAACGGATGTAGTTTCTAAACAATACATCGAAAATTATGTTAATTCACAGATTAATTTAAAATGTGTGACTTTTGGTATCAATGATGAAATTAATATGAAGAATAAACGATTGAGCTTTTTTAAAATTGAAAAAGATCCAACCGATGACTCTGATGCAATAAATAAACTTTATCTAGATAAAGAATTAGTTAGGGTAAATCAAATAATTAGCAAGACGGTGGAATCCTTCATTAAACCAGAAAAAGGAGAATTAAACTTTAAAAAGTTTATAATTAATATAAATGAAGCCATAAATAATTATTCTCCCATTACTTTAGGTCAGGCAAGAACACTCATGCAGAAGTATTTATACATTGATGACAAAAGTGAAGTAAATATCAATAATTCAATAATAACAAATGTCAAAAAGCCAATTGAAAGACATGATGTTGCAAACAAAGAATATGTAGATGAAACAGTACGAAGCAACAATACAACTTTAGTTGAAGTGGTACTGAGGGAAATGATAAAGGATTATATTAAACCTGATATGAATGGTGTCATAGATTTAAAAAAGTATAATATTCAATTGGTTGTCAAAGCGAGCGAGAATGAAAATTCACCTGTGACTCGTAAACAATTAGATGCTTTCAAAAACAGGATAAACTCTGATATGTCACGTATTGATGAAAAGCTTAAGGTTTTTTATCCAGCTTCTTCGTTGACTGTAAGGTCCCGAAATAGAGAAGGTAAGCCCATATCAGATGTCATGAGTGCAATGATAAATGACTTAGCTTATCTTAGGTCTGAAATAAAAACCTTGAAAGAAAGTAAATCAACAGAAGATGATGATAAAGACGACTTTTGGGATAGGGTAGGTAAGTTGAATAGCAAGTAGGACTGGTCATCAGTATGGTTCTGAGCTTCAAACGAGGTGGAGGTCTAATTAATAAGCTTATTGATAACCTACCTTTTGAGGCACATCTGTTGGGTGGATACCAATTTTGTGGGGCTGGTACTAAATTGGAGAAACGTCTGGCAAGGGGCGACAAAGGGATCAATCCACTTGATAGTTACTGCAAGGAACACGATATAGCATACGCTCAGAACAAGGATTTAACGAGTAGACACAAAGCTGACAGGCTGCTGGCCGATAGGGCGTGGACGAGAGTATCGGCTCCGGACGCTAAACTCGGTGAAAAGGTAAACGCTTTTTTAGTAACGAACGCTATGAAAGCAAAACTTAAACTCGGTGCTGGTATGAAGAAATCGAAGTCAGAAAGTGTTACAAAGAAAAGGCAGAAAAGGAGTCCGAAACATGACAGTAAGAATGGAAATACACAGAAGAAACACCTCAAGGATGCTATACTGGCGGCTAAAAACGAACTTAAAAAGAGTAAAAGCAAAGAACTTAAGGTATTGGTTCCTGCAGCGTTGAAAGCTGCAAGAAATGCGATGAGGGGTGGTAAAAAGGATCAAATAAAAAAACCTAGAATCATACCCATACCCAAATCTGGAGGAGCGTTACCGTTCCTGTTGCCATTATTTGCCGGACTGTCTGCCATCGGAAGTCTGGCCGGCGGAGCTACCTCAGTGTATAAAGCCATAAACGAAGTTAACAGAGCAAGAAAGGAAAATGTAAGTGACGTTAAGATTAAAACAGGAAAAGGATTGTATTTGAGACCATACAAACAAGGGATGGGTATTTTTTTAGATCAAACGCACTAACCAATCTGGATTTGGAAAGGTATGCTAAACGATTGAAAATACCTTACTTTAGAGGAGTATTCTCTAAGGATAAACTGCCTTTGCATCCATGGAATAAAGAAGCGATAATCATAAACTTAGACGATGATGATGGGCCCGGGACTCATTGGGTCGCTTTACGTAAAGATGGATCACATGCAAAGTATTACGACAGTTTTGGGAACCTCAAACCACCAATGGAAGTTATACATTATTTAAAAAACTGTATTATTTTGTATAACTATGTTAGGGATCAAAATTTTAACACTGAAATATGTGGACAGTTGTGTTTGAAATTTCTGTCTGATTGTAATTAAAATATTCTCCAATAACTATCTCAGTCATTATTTGACCATCGTACAAGCAACATGTCTCACCTATTTGTAATTTCGGGAAATAGTTCACTCTTAAGCTGTGAAATATTCCCCAAAATTGAACTAGAAAATGATCGAGATTACGTGTTAGGGTTCATCAATTTTGAAACATTTAATTCAATTCCAAATGTTGAGGAAGGGTGTAATATGTTTTATTATCTTACCGATAAAAATGAAGAGGTGGGTATAGAAATACCTACTGGATCATATGAAGTTAAAGATTTGCAAAAGTATTTACGAAAGGTTCTTGGAGATAAGAGAGGTGAAACAGAAACTGACATCGATACTAGCTTATCATACAAAAATGCGTATCCCATTAATCATGATGTACTGATAACAATTCAACCAAACAATAATACGTTAAAAAGTGAGATAAAGTGTTCCAAAGACATCGACTTCACTCCTTCAGACTCAATAGGTCCTTTATTAGGTTTCAAAAATAGAAAATTAAACAAGTTTTTCACTCATGTGTCGGATGGAACGGTAAACGTCTTAAAAGTCAATACTATAAACGTGGAGTGTAATATAATTACGTCTTCGTTTGTAAATAGTAATCCAAGTCATGTGATACATACATTCTTTCCCACTGTTCCACCAGGATTTAAAATAGTTGAAACTCCCGCCAATATAATCTATCTTCCAATCAACACAAGGACGATTGATAACATATCCCTTAAAATAACTGATCAAAATGGTAAACCTATCAATTTCCGTGAAGAAACCATCACAGTAACATTACATCTTAAACGTTTGTAATCATGCCTATGATCTTCACCCCAGTTAAGAACATACCGTATTTGAAAACCGTGAACATTTCTACACCGGACACCGTGAAGAGAGGTTCTCTTTCTAAGAGTAATAGAGACTTTTTAGTATCATTAGGCTTAAAAATTAAACATGGCTGGTAGTATATTACAAGTAAGAGAGCAAATTTACTTTGACGAATCGATAAATAAAATAGAAGTACACGCACATCAACCATATGCTAATTCTTCATTCAACAATAATGATGAAATTAGAATACCAATCCAACATCAAGATATCTATACGTATCCCTGCAACAGTACTCTCTACATCGAGGGGGTGGTTAAATCAACAAATACAAAATTCATTAATAACGGATATGCTTATTTATTTGATGAAATACGATACGAAATCGGTGGAGTTGAAATAGATAGGGTGAAAAACGTTGGAATTACAAGTACAATGAAAGGTTATCTGTCTTTTAATGATAGTGACATTAAAATGTTAACTAATGCAGGCTGGACGAGTGAAAAAGGTAGTTTATTGACTCTCAAAGAAGACAGTACAAATAAAGGTACTTTCTATTTTAATGTCTGCATTCCTCTTAAGATTTTAATTGGGTTCGCTGAGGATTATAATAAAATTATATTAAACGTTAAACAGGAACTTATACTTATAAGATCAAGAACTGACCTAAATGCTATGCTTGGTGAGGTTAAGACTGAAACAGGAGCTGCAGGTACAAGTACAAGTATCGAGCCAACGATGGACATTAACATCAAGAAAATTCAATGGAGAGTTCCCTACGTATTCCCATCAGATCAAGAAAAACTATCTTTACTCAAAGTTATTGAAAAAAATCAATCAATTTTCATCAATTTTAGAACATGGGAGCTTTATGAATATCCTTTATTACCACAATCAAATAGACAGACATGGAATGTAAAAACATCAACTCAGTTGGAAAAACCACGATATGTTGTATTAGCATTTCAAACGGACAGATCAAACAATATCAAAAAAAATGTCAGCGAATTTGATATATGTGACGTTTCAAATGTAAAACTTTATTTGAATTCAGAGTGTTACCCGTATGACGATATGAACCTTGATCAGTCCAAGAATCAGCTAGCGATTCTTTATGAAATGTATGTAAAATTTCAAGAAAACTACTATTTTAAAAAGGGC